GTTTTCCTTTTTTTTTTTTTTTTTTTTGACATTTGTCTTTGACAAGAAAGGAGAACTAGATATGGGTTACAGGTTGAAAAAAAAGATGAAACATTACCTCCAAAGTCCGGCCGCAAGCGAATGTCATAACCTTTGAGCAATCTATCCACTGTCTCTTTCACGTATGACATGTTGCTGGGCTCATTGGCGCTGAAGGGAAGAAGTAGGGACCGGATTCAGAATGAGCACAAACTGCGAGCAGACATAAAAATAGACAGGCACACCTACCCCCCAAATAACGAGCTACATGATCCAGCAAGCATGTAAAAAGAAAAACACCAAGAAAAAAAGACATTCAACAACAGCAGCTCACCTGTGTGCACAACAGACCATGGCAATCATCACAGGGAAAGAGAGAAGCCCCAAACTCTCTCGATTTTGTACTGTCCACATTACTAACTCTGATTAAAGAATTGTCTTTTCTGCGAAGATTCAAGGAATGCAACTTAGTCGGCGGCCGGGCAGTAATTCCCGAATGGACCTGCGCATGCGCAGAGGGTGCTCACTACCAAAAGACACCTTGTGCCTTGCAAACAATATTCCTAGTGGAACAGGCAACAGATTTCAATCCCTTTAAAGTTCCTGTTTGTGGTGCTCCGCGTCCTCCATGTAGTAAAAGATACCCTGCTGTTTCCTTGCTCGTGCTTGTGTATACGGATCTTTCTTTGTGCACTGGAGGTTTCTATGTTGATTTCCTTTCTGCCTTCCACCTAATTTTTACTCAGTTTCCAGGGATATGGCTTAGGCTGCCTGTGATTGGCATATTTCGTTGACAGTCACGGTGGTCTTAGAACCGGGAGTCTAGAGGCGAGGCGGTTCTCTGTGGTTGCCTGTGTGTGTGTGTGTGTGTGTGTGTGTGTGTGTGTGTGTGAGAGAGAGAGAGAGAGAGAGAGAGAGAGAGAGAGAGAGAGAGATGGGGGTGAGGGGAGAAGTGAGTGGAGAGGGAGAGCCACAGAAGAAGGAAACTCAGGATGTATTTGGGGAGTCCAGGAATCAGGTCCGCTTGAGAGGCGTCTTAGCACGTCTGGCTTACTGCCGTCCTTCTCTATGGGAGGACGAAGAGGAGAGGTCGACTTTTGCGCTCGCTCCCCGGCTCTCCCACTTTTCTTCCCTCCGCCTTTCTTGTCTCACCAAGCGAGAGAGGTGGGGTAAAAGCAAGCCAGAGGCAGCATCTCGGGCAGGCAATCCTTTTCCTAGAGCCGTTCGCCTCAAGTCCCACTTTTCTTCTAGGTTCTAGTGGGGAAAACCTCTTTTTTAATTGCCAGCGTGTTAGCATGTATTAATAACCCAAAACAGGACCCTGAAACACCCAGAGGGTCTAGCCTCTGTTTGCTATTAGATTGGGGTTCTGTAGGAGAAAGAGTTGTTTGAATTAAATTAAATTCAGTCAATGCAGTTCGATAGAAGCCATTGAGCACATGTGAGGTGGGAGGCCCTTTGCCAGGGGTTTGTTCATCTGTTTAATAGTATATACTAAATCTTTTCTATGTTCTGGGTATTTGGGGACTCAGAAATGACTTAAAAAGGTTCCCAACCTAGAGAAGTCACAGACTGATAGGGGAGGTGGACATAAATATAAGTAAATTCAATATTTCTCTATATAGTTTATATAGTGGCAGGTTGTTACTTCTACCAGAGAGAGGCAGATATGATTTCTGGAGGTGAAAGCTTTTTGCCAGAGCAGGGAGGGAGGGGCACTCCAGAAGGAGGGAACAGCATGTGCCAAATGACTTGAAAGAGACTGACAAACTATGAGACTTCAAAGCCTATGGTCTGCTTAGATAGCTGAACCCTGAAATACTTGAGCAGAATATGAAAGGAGGGAGGTAGCGATGGAGGGTGGTGAGTGTGCAAAGGGAAGCTGAGGCCAGAATACAAGGAAAGTTACATACTCCACTGTGCAAATTTAAGCTTCTGGGAATCACTGACAGTTTTAAGTAGGGTCAGGGTCAGATTTAGGTTTTAAAATGCTCTGATAGAATAATCATGATAAAAAGGATTAACATTCATCAACTGTGGACTATTTGCTGGTTATCATGCACATTACATAGATGATCTCATTTAAACCTTGTAGCAATCCAAACGTGGTAGATATTATTATGATTATTTATTATTATTATTCTCATTTTATAGGTGATGATACTGAGAACAAATCAAGGTAATGTAATTCATTTAATACCAAACAGCTAATAAATGGTGGAATCAACATTTCAACCAAGAATCTATCAACCTATCTGCTCTATGCTATTAAGCATAGACCCCAAGAGGAGGAACCAGAGAGAGCGAAAAGAACAAGGAAGAAGAAGGGATATCACAATACCCTAAGCAAAAGGAACAAATGTCAGATAATGTTTAGCATAGAGAGAAGGTGATAGACTAGTGCAAGATTTCAGAAATGTAATGGAGACATAAAATAGTTGGAAATATCAGGACTTGGAGACTTTTGAAAGGTGCCTAAAGAATTGTACATATGTTTACACATGTGTAGACCTTGACATTCTGCATATACATCAATTTCATTTTCTCATTTGAGCCTCATGACAACCTTAAACACTATGACCATTTCTTCTGGGACCAATGTTAATCATGTTTCTTAATTTTTTTTTAATGTTTTCTAGGTGGTCATAAACCCCAATAATTCATTTTTAATAACTACCAGGATTTTATTTAGCAGTGTTTGCCAAAGGGTCAACATTTTATTCTAGAATTAAGGAAGACTATTGGTGACTTTGCATATTTGAATTCTAATGTTTAGCATGCCCCAGTTGGGATCAGTTTCACTGAATTTCGCATTTAAATTACGCCTTCCACTTATATAGAAGGATACTACAAGAAGTCATAAAATACTCATGATCACATCTGTTATTGGGATACTATTGAGGATGGAGCCCACTGTACCACTCAGTATCATGTGTGAAGACCTCTGGGAGAAAATTTTTCCCAGACCCTAGTACTCTGAAAAGTGTTTTCTTTCCTGAATTCTAAAATTCACTCACTTCCCTGTTTGCTTTGGTCACTGGGAATCTTAGAATTATTGGTACAATTCAGCTTTAATCATTATCTAAGATCTTAATGACCTGCATATTGATATATTTCTCCCTGATGCCTTAGAATTCTAAATTTAATTTTCCTTTGTCACTAATTGAAAAACAGATATGTTGCACAAATATATACAGTGTTAAGCTGTCTTGAATAATTTTCAGGACTAAATGGGAAAAAATAAATTCAAAATAATACCGAGAAATAACTAAAAAATTTTTTTAAATTTTAAACATCACAGATCCAGAAATAGTACAGGATTTGCTGTGGCTTGAAAAAGCCAACACTTATTTCCTCTGTGAAGTTGCTTGTTTTATCCCCAAACCAATCCTCTTAAATAAGACCTTCGCCCCTTCAAGAATCAATTCAATTTGCTTTTTTTTTTTTTTCCATGAAAGCTGCTCCTAAGAGCCATTGGTCATCCTATTATCCTCTCCTGCTAACTCTTACTGAAACAAAAAATTATCATCCAGCTAGGTTGGAAGTGTCTCAAGATCAAGAAACGTTACACATGTTACGAATATTCTTAGTGAATATGCTTACTGATAAGAATTTAGAGTAAGCAGCTTGGAATTGCTACTTTGAACTGGGATCAAACTTGAAAATGCTGGTTTCACTTTGAAGTTAGTCTCGCTTGTTTATTTATTCTTGTAAATACTGAGTCCAGACAAATTATGTACAGGCTAAAGCTGGTTTTGATAAGCTATATCAGAAATACTGTGTAGCTTTAATGTAGATGGCACACTTTAAGGGGAGGATTAATAGAGATTTTGTTTAAAATGATATAATAAACATTTTTATTTATTGTTTAAGAATATAACTAAAGTTTACCTTCATTCAGTCTTGCTTCAATCAAATTTATTGAGCATCTATTTTGTCCTCAACAAGTATGAGACTCTGCAGTCATAATTAATCCATTATTACCTGTCCTCCAGTTGGCTTAAAATCTTATGTAAATGGATATATCAGGCTGGATATATGTGGAATGAAGGTGATAGTAATTGTTTGGAAGTACTACAAAGCAGCTTCCTTCCCATGAGTGAGGATGAAATAAATGCCCACCCTAGCTATCCTCCATTCCCCAGAAATTGACTTCAGTATACAAAAATTAAGTATGTAATAACATTAATGTGTCAAATTAGTGGATAAATGATAGTTTTTCCAATAAATATTAGCAAAATTATACCTTTGAAAAATAATAAATATAAGAACTTTCTAACACTTTTGCTAAACTAAGTTTCAGTTGAGTTAAAGACTTAAAGGTAAAAAACTAAACCATAAAAATAATAGATAAGTACCTATAATATAATCATTCAGCATTTAATAAATGATTATTGAACATCTTTTCTCTTGGATATATGCTTATGAAAGGAGAAACATTAAGAGAAAATGTTGATAGAGGTGAATATATAATTTTAAAGTTATTTTTAAAACATATGCTTGAAAAGTAAAGTAATTAATCATAATACTTAAGAGGTACTTCCATTAAAGTAGGAATAATTAACACTATAATAGAGGTATGATATTGCAATGAGACAATAAACTTTTTTTTAAAAAATAGAAAAGGAAGAAGTTAAACTTTCCTTATTTCCACGTGGTGAGTTTGTCTAGAGAGAAAATCCGATAAAGTCTCCAAATGTGTAAGACTATAGTAAGAGAGTTAAACTAACCTTCTGACATCAAAATCAAATAACGTTTAAATACACGTTAGTAGTATTTTCATACACAGCAGTTAGCAAAAAAAAAAAAAAAAAAACCCATAATAGGAAAACGTATTCTATTACAGTAATAAAAAAAATTCTAATGTATCTAGGAATAACTGAAAAAAGTGTAAGAGCTTTATAGAGAATCTGTATAACATTATTGAAGGACATAAAATAAGACTTAGATAAGTGAAAAAGATGTGGCTGGGAAGATTCAATATGATAAAGCCATCCAAAAAAAAAAAAAGACAATAAAATCTGCGAGAAAAAAAGAGGGAGTATATGGGGGCAATTGTTTTTGAGATATCAAGACTTATTGAGCTATTGAAATTGAAAGAGTTTGTGTTTAGTTTGGGATTCATGTAGAGATAGTAAAAAAGAAAATAGCACAACCAAATAAAGAGCATAAAAATATTCCTCTATTTTAGGAAAACTGGGAAAGAATGAGCTATTCAATAAATGCTATGGAGACAATTTATTGTCTATAAAAGGGAAAAAAGTAGATTTTTACCTAATTTCATGCATGAAAATGTATTACAGGTGGATACATAATTCAAGCATAAACCAAAACTTCAAAACTTTAGAAAACCTGTATAGGAAATATATTTATGACTTTGGTGTAGAGAAAGATTTAAAGATAAACAAAAGTAT